TCTGCTTAACCACACGCTTGGGGTTAGAAAAAAAATTAAAAAAAAAAAAATTTACACATTAAGAAATAGTTACTTACATTAAATTTTATAAAATTTTCCTGAATTTTCATAAACTTACGGGAAAATTTTTACTACTAATTATCTAATAAATATAATCGATATCAGTTTAACCTTCAAATCTTGTAAAAGAAACAATGTCAATTTATTTATAGATAAAATATACAAAAATATAATTTTCCTAAAAAAATTTGAGTATTTGTTGAATTAAAATAAAGTTAACACGATTTTTTAAACTCATAAATACTAAAATAATCAACAAAAATTCAAAATTTACTTTAAAACTATTTTTTTTTATATATTTTGAAACTTAATTTTTATATATAAATAACCATCCCACAATTTTAATAAAAATTGAAATTAATAGATGTAAAAATAAGAAACTGTATCAATACAAGAAAAGTCTTTGTACAGATATATTAATAAGAAGTGAGAAGATTATTTTTCTTCCCTTCCTTGCAGCCCAAGTGCTTCTACTTTTTTATTTTATTTTTTTTTTTACACATTTTGGTACTGTGTAATGAACACTTTACAAATAAATTAAACAATTTATCATTTTTTTCATTGATCATATTATTGATAATGTATTATAATATTTTTAATTTTTAGTTCATATAAAAATCAGGCATTTATATTAAAACATGAAAATATTAGTAATACAAGCGATAAATTAAAATATATTATTCATTCTTTATCTTTTAAAAGATTCATTTTAGTTTTTTAATTTTCAAATTAATATTGTCTTTCAGCGATTGTTTTTTATTTCAAGGGAGTTCAATTTTAAAGATAATTTGTATTGACTAATTCAAGATATAAAATTTGCCTCATTAAAATACAAAACTCAATTAATGTTGGAATACAAAAATACTATAAATATAATGAAAATTACGTTAAAGAAAATGAGTTTTGTAAGTAATCCAAAAATTGAAGTGTGTTATTATATTTTGTTCAAATCACTAACGAGACTCCCTTTTCATACCTTTTTAATTACGATGATTTTGATCTTTTCATTCAAATATTAGTTAGATTTATAATTTTCTTATATGCATGTAAACTTAATGAGATAAATTTTATGTTTTAAATTAGTAAAAAAAAATTATTCAAAATTATGTCTCAAAATGATCACTATTTCTAAAAAATAATATTAACATATTTAAAAATTTAGGGATCAATATGAATCTTTTAAAAAATAAATAATCAAAATGATTTTTATAATAAAATAAAAGATCAAAAACATATTTTATCCCAAGTAATATCAAATTTGAGTTTATGTAAATTTTAATTTTATGTTGCCATTTATGACGTATTTTATTTTCTGAAAAAATTGGAAACATTTATTTATATAAAATAATAAAAAAAAAGTTATAACGTTAACTCGGGCATCTGACCTATTTTTTTGTACCAGTGTGTATTCAATATAGATAAATCCATTTGTCATGTGAAAGCAGGCACGATCTATTTTAGCCTTTTACATTTTTTTGGTCTAACTAATTTTATCTTTACATTAAGGTTTGTGACCTTCATAGGAAATATATAGGCACGTGCTCCCTCATAGTTGTTATTTTCTTTAGTTTAAGTATTCTGCCAGCCATGGAAGCATGTGAATTGACGAAGATCAAGTTTTGTGGCACATTCAATCAGATCCATGTGACCTGGTCTCATTGTCAAACCATTGCACACAAAAGCTTTAAAAAGGAATGTATCGTTGTTCCATTACATGCTACATTATCCTTTCATCATCCACTTTTGCCAAGAGAAAAAAATGGGGAAAGTACTATGGTGCTGTTTGGTTTTCACATGCCTTATGATTCCTCTAGCAGTTGCTGATTGGAACATTCTGAAGGAGCAGACACATGATGATGGATTGAAGATCAGCCAGCAGAACTATTGTGAAAGTTGGAGGATGAATGTGGAGTTACACAACATTAGGGAGTTCCGAGTTGTGCCTGAAGAGTGCATTGAATACATTGGAAAATATGTCACGTCCACACAGTACAAAGTGGACTCACAGAGGGTAACTGAAGAGTGCTTGGTTTATCTCAGCACCAGTTGTAATTTGAAGAAAGATGGATTGGATGCTTGGATTTTTGATGTTGATGATACCCTCCTTTCAACAGTTCCTTACTATAAGAGTAATCTATATGGGTAATTCCAAAATTCACATCATATCATGTTTGGTTACTAACTTCTTGTGGATGTTTGAGCTAGTGTTATAAAAATTGATTTTTTAAAATTGGTTTTAGAGTCAAAATTGATTTTGAAATGAAATGATCTTTTTATGTTTGAATTTTTTTTATATTTTAAAAGTAATTTCGTAGTAGAAGTCATTATAAAATGATTTGCTTCCGAATCAAGTCTAAATATCAAATTGATGCTGAAGCTTCAAGTGGATCCGCATTGTATTACTCTAATGAGTATTAAACAAAGGCTAAATCCTCTAATATGAATCTAAGCACTTAAAATCTCATGTGAATCAAAACATGCATGCTAGATATATGCTTCAAATTGCTTGCTACACTTTATGGTTCTTACTTCGATATCCTCGTGCTTATTGATAATAATTTGAGTGATGATGGGTTTCTTTGATAATAGGGGAAGGAAACTGAATGTGACATCTCTAGAGGAATGGATGAGCAAAGGTAATGCACCAGCTCTTGATCACTCATTGAAGCTTTACAATGAACTTAAATCAAGGGGTGTGCAAATCATTTTGGTTACTGCAAGGAAGGAGCATCTCAGATCAGTCACAATTGACAACCTTTTCAAGGTTGGTTATTATGGGTGGAATAAAATTGTCTTCAGGTGAGTAATTTAACCCTTTTACATTATTTTTCGTTCACCAGTCCTTTTGTGACTAAATTGAAAAGAAAAAAAAAATTAAGTCTCACATTAATTAAAAATAAAATAAATAATATCTAATATTATCTAAGAACGAAAATTAGTTTTCTGAGGTAACAAATGTCCTTTACTTATAGATATGCTTTAGATTTTTCTGGATAATAATTTTCTTTCCTTTTTGTCTATGATCAGAGATCCTACTAATGAATTGGTATCAGTGCAAAAATACAAGTCTGATGTGAGAAGGCAAATAATGAGGGATGGTTATTGCATTTGGGGCATTGTTGGAGACCAATACAGTAGCATTGAGGGAATTCCTAGTCCCGAAAGGACATTTAAACTACCAAATCCAATGTACTATGTTGCCTAATATGGCATTCATTGTAATTGCTTTATTTCTCCCTTATTTTCAACTTATATTTAAAAATAATTTGTTACAATAAATGAAGTCTCAAATAGAGATAATATATATATCGCACATTTTCCTTCGAGCAACAAGAAACAAATTTTCATTATATATTTGACATTGCGTAAGTCAACATGTAAAATTATTCTATTGTAATCAGTGGTCTTTGAATTCAAATTTTCAATAAAAATTTTAGATATTGAATTGGAATTAATAGTTGCAACACTTACTTCGATATTATTATGATCGATAGTACATCACTATGGCGATTTCTCTTTCTTGAAATATTTGTTTGCTTAGTTATACGTGGTGTAGATTCAGGTGCGTCACATATTGGTTCCTTAAAAAGATTTGATATGACATTTTTAGCACTCAGCTCTTTGCGTTCTCTTGTTCATTATCTGTCACAGCAACTTCTCTTGTAGCGCAATCTTGTTCTTGCCTACAAATTGTTGTTACATCTTCCCAAATTTCATATAACTAATTGTTTCAGTAGTGAAAATAAATATGCAAACTAATACTAATTCAATATACATATATACTAAAAACATTAAACAAAAGGAAGGCTTTTGATATGAACTTAAATAGTTAGCGATGGGATCAATCGGTACAATAAATATTTGATTCTTCAATAACCGGTACTTGATTCTTCAATCAGCAAAATAAAAACTGGCGCTCTAAAAATTTAATCAGTCGTCCACTGGAAATCAAGTTTTAGAACGAGGGGTAGCTGGGATAACTTCATGCTTTTAATAGAATTCACCTATAAAAATAATTATCATTTTAGTATTAGGATGACATCTTACTAAGTTTTGTATGGAAGGGAGGTGTTGAACACCCTTCTACTAGTGTGAATTTAGTTAGAACCTTGTGTTAGTGTAACAAACTACGAATAAGTTAAGACGATATATGATAGGATGAGAATAATTCTGAGTAGAAAAAAGAGTTATGCAAATAGGAGGTAGAAAGATTTAGAATTTCAAGAGGGCAATGTATGCTTGAAAGTCACTTTGTGTGGTATGGGGTTTCAAATCCTTAAAAAAAGTCGGTGAAATAGCTTGTGAGGTTATTTCACCTCCACACTTGTTCAATCTTCACAACACATTCCATGTGTCTAAACTTTGTAAATACATTCATGATCTTTCGCATGTGATTGAGTTGAACCATCTTGAGGTTAAAGAAAATTTGATGGTAGCGGGCATGCCGATGAGGATTAAGGAATTGTATGGCTAAATAACTCAAAGGTAAGGATATTCCTTTAGTTAAGGTTGTATGGGGAGGTGCTGCTTCTAAAGATGCTACTTGGGAATTAGATAGTAAAATAAAGGAAGCATATTCGAAGTTATTTGTCATAAGTAAAATTTGAGGATGAATTGTCTTTTAGGGGGGAGAAAATTGTAACTTATAACATCCCATTTTCTAAATAATAATAATAATAATAATAATAATAATAAATTAGATTAACTAGACTATTATAAAGGAAATATTTTTATTAATGAAATAAAAAGGGAGAGAAAAATAAGGAGGTTGTGGGTTAGACTTTGAGCTCAAGCTATAGGCTAATTTAAAAGAAGAAGGGAATGAGTTAGGTTATTGCATATTTTATAAAACCTAGAGTGCTTGTGGGAGAAAACTTAGAGGAGACCATCAGAGAAGACACATATTAGCGGCCAGAGCAATGGGAAACACGTTTCACATGCTCATAACTCCAGGTAAGGGAGAGTGAGATTGTTATATCAACAAGTATATGTGAGGGATAAGGGTAGAGAGGCAACCCCTAGTATTAAAGACTGCTAGAAGGTTTGAAGATAGGGTTGCTCAAAAGGTAACTTAGAAGATAATAGCTTTTGAAGGAATTGTGACAACATTAAAAATAAAAGTACAAGCTGATGTCAGCACTGCTTAAAACTAAGCAAACCCCAATGGACCTATTTTGAAGGCAATAATAAAAAGACCAAGGCTACATTTTTTAAGTAAGAAAGATCAAAGAGAGTAATCAACAAGTTTTCCAAGTTGTAATCCTTACTTCATACTTTATTTTTGTAGAGAACTTAACTTTTATATTTGTAATCATTCTTGTAATAAAAAAACAAAGTGTGAATTTTCTTTAGTGGAAGCTCTAGTTTGGAGAACATGTTGTAACCATATCTGAGTGCTAGGATAAATATACACATTTTTCGTAAAAGCCTTCCCTACTTAAATCTAAGTTATAGAGGTGTAGGAAGGAGAGAAACGAAGTCAACCTAGTGGTTGCAAGATCTCATGGTTGTGAAGTTGGGTTACTCAACAGGTTGTTGAGGAAGAAATATCAATAGGTGGCTAAGTGGAAATTAGTAATAGTAGGTGGCTATGTAGTGAGGAATTTGTAACAATGGTTGTATTTAGTGGAAAATCTCACAAGATTGTGTGATGATTGGAAAATCTCACTAAACTAAATGTGAATTTTGTAAATCCAATTGTTAGATTGAAAGTTCATATCACTTTATATGTTTATATAAAATTTTGTTAAAATTGAACAACAACTTGAAGCTAATCAAAGTGTTCATATTTTAGTATATTTTGAAATGTATATATTACGTCAATTTTGTTTTATAAGAATGAAGTATCAAATCATCTTGGATTAATATAAAATTTCGTATATATGATCTAAGAGTAAAAAACTTTCAATCTAACAGTTGGATTTACAAAATTCACATTTAATATAAAGTTATTGAGCGGTGTAATACTTAATAAAAGTTATACCGATGTTATTATAACCCTCCTATATATATATATATGTATGTATGTATGTATGTATATATATATATATATATATATCAATGACAAGATAATGCAACAAGATCAATCACAATTCACAACAATGTTCATCACACAAATACACATTAACATACATAATGCAATGAACATGGACTTCAATGTGGATATGCATGTGGCACCAGTAAAACATGTTATCACTACCCGAAGGCTCAATGCCTGAAGGCCACTATCCGAAGGAAAAATCTCAGGTATGGTTGTAAAATATTTCATGCACATGATACATGTCTCACATATAAGACTCAATGCAATATCATGTTATCATAGTGTATATTCACAATTTGTCAATTTGTCAATTTGTCATCATCTGAGCCCCACATGATCCATACATATTGATTTTCATATTTGCCAATATCAATTCACATCATTTGTATCTCACAATATTATAAATACATACTCAACATATCATACTCAATTATTTGCATCAATTAGTACAAGATTCACATATTTGTAATTCAAATACGACCATTAAAGAACATCATCTCACACGCCTCGAGATAAAATCATTATGAAATCAAATAATCATATATTAATACCTCAATCATAGTCACTAAGAGATCATCATATCAAAATAAACATTTAAATTAATAATTTAATGAGTCTAGCAACATTATTAAATCACACATTAATTCCTTAGGCAACATTATAACCAAAATACCTTAATTCGTTAACAATCAACTCACATTATAACTTATTCACAATTGTTATCTCTCATAATTTATCTTTCCTAAACATTAATATATAAAGTCAAACACTTGAAGGGTAAAGTCATTCATCATCACCATTCAAACTACATTTTCATAACTTAATCTTCTATGACCTTGTGTAGTCTAAACACAATATTTTGAGCTATATACATGCTATCAAGTTTATCTTAATATTTTTTTTTAAAAAAAGTTAGGACCATTATCTACAACTTTTATGTTGATCTCGAGAGTTAAATTTTCTATCTACTATTTTTTAAAATTACAAAATCGTAGTATTTTAGCTTAAATCTGACAATTTGATCTTCACACACTAATTTGATCATAACTTAAGACCCCTTTTAAGGTGATTCCAATGACATATGAAATATAACATCTAGGGTTTCAACTTTCATGAAGATCACAAAAGTAAATTCGACCATCTACTCACTTGAGCAAGCCAATCATTCGCTTAGTTAAGGTCAACATGCTTAGAGTGAGCTAAAATTTGCTTGAAGCTAGTTGCTACCTGAAACTCTCTATCGAGACATGCTTAAGAAAGCCTAAGGTCATTTGATGGCTAAATTTTATTAGAAAGAAAGCCTAAGGTCACCTGAAGCAAGCTAGAACAATCCAGAATCTAATATTATATTATTCATAAGTTTATAACCTTTCCTACACCATTCCTTAACACTATCAATCCAAATCCAATCAATAAGATATCAAATTACAGCCTATTACTATACAATTCTGTCATCAATTTCTCAAATCCACATGCTCATTGTAGTTATTTGATAATAACTCATTATGTGCATTCCTTAGGGTTTCCACAAGAACCCATGGACAATCCAACATCCACAATATTAGTTTAATACATGCAATGAAACATACATAGATGTTAATAGCATTAATTAGAGCACTAATTAAAGAATCATATGAAAAATAAAAACACGTCACAAATTGAGATTTCTACCTCATACGATGTATATAATAGAAAAGAGATAAGGGGTCAATCTCACTACCCAACTTATACCCCATGTCAAGAATGAGACTACTCACTCCTTCTTAACTTGATGAACACTAGATGAAGGGCATGTGATCTATAGAGTAATTAGGGATGACAAATATACTCGTACCCGTACCCGTACCCGTACCCGTACCCGTACCGTCCCCGTTTCCATTTTTAATTTAATACCCACTTTCAATTTAATTATATTAAAAAAATTTAATATTTTTTTATGTGTGATTATTTATTATAATATGAGATAGAAAAATAACCTAATTATAATTATAATATAATAAAAAAATAATTTAAAAATATCATATTTTTTTTTACAAAAAATAAAAAAAAATTTGACAGGTACGGGTACGGGTATACCCGATACCCGATAAGGACGGGAATGGGGATGAAAATCACATACTCGACGGGTACGGGTACGGGTACGGGGACGGAGATGAGTTTGACTCGCGAGAACAGGGACGGGTATCATGAAACCCGTACCCGACCTAGCCCGTTGCCATCCCTAAGAGTGATCCCCAATGATCTCTAGTTCTTCTAGTTCTTCAAAGCAAGAACTGTAAAACAAGAGTAATGAGAAGCATGAAAATGAAGAAAAATTGACATAATCCCTCTTAACTCCCTAACTCACACTTAACTCT